AGCTTATCAGAGGCTCTAATGCCTCGCGTTGGGTCAACGAACCGCTCCTTGAGGAGCTTGAGGAATTGGGAGAGAGGAGTGACTTTGGAATACGCAACCAGGTTGTTTTCACAACCGGCTGTACGCGCAAGAGACCTGGCGAAGCTAGCCGCTTCATCTTTGAGGGCCTGGAAGGCCACGAGGACTTGTTCCTCAACCAAGATATGTTGCAAGTAAATGTAACTATTGACACTGGCTTCCCAATTGTCAAAGTTTTCTTCCTTCTTTCCCCCGTACGCATCCGGAAACTTAAGCTTCACTGGGTCCTTACGGGGTCTGGCCTCTCCCTCTACAGCGGCTACAGCTTTGGCACCCTGAATAGCGCCCTCACAAAACTTCCCTACATCATCTCTCAAGTGCTTCACTTCGCCCCCAATATGGGTGACGATCTCGCGCGCAAAATCTCTAAACCCTGACCGCATGGCACTCAATGCTACAACCTGGCTCCAGCTTGCCTGGCGCTCCTCCATCCAGGCCTTGCTCAACACCTCTAAATAACCCAGTACTTTGTCCCACTTGGCCTTATCATCTGGCTGGGCCAGCACCTCCGCTCTACACTCCTGCACCTTTGCCACTGCGGCGGTCATCTTATTCACTTCTTCTCTCCTCCTCTTCTTCTCCCTCTTCATTCTCAACTTCCAAGCTAACTTTTGCTCGTCTTCCCTCTCTCTTCGTTCCATTGGGTCTGTCATGGCTGCTAGCTCAGCGGCCAACGCAGCCTTCTCATCCTTAGTTACATAGGACTCCGCCTCCTCGTCTTCCCCCAACGATAAATAAGCGACCCACTCGCTGATCCTCTTCTCCAACCCTGTATCTGTCTCCCTTGTCATTGTGCCACCACTACTCCCTTCTCCACTCTCAATCCTCATCCTCTCTTTCTCTTCTTCTGCTGCCGCTTCTGCTTCAGCAGCTTTTCTTCTTTCTTCCTCCTCTTGTTGTACTTTCTTCATCTCCTCCTCCAATCTCTTCATCTTCGCCGCCTGTTCGTCTGCGGTAGCCCTTAGCTTCGCTTGCTTCTCACGCTCTTTCCTCTCCCTGTTCTCTCTGACTAAGGCGGCCATCTTTTCTTGCTTGTCCTGACTATAGGGATTAGTCTCTAACCCAGTACGGGTCTCAACCATGGTGATAGGTGCACAATCAGGATGATTCCACTCCTCACCACGTAGATTAACCCCTAATTGACAAACCTATATACCCAATCTAAGACTTACAGAATCCTGACAGGGATCCTGTCAACTATGGTCTCTAGCCTAGACCTACACTATGGCTGTCACTACTGAACCAGTGGCTGATCAGGAGGCATTTAAGGAGATCCCCCGTAACTCCTCAAGAATTCTTTAACGTTGCAGACAGGACGGCGTGATCAGCTTGGTTCTGCCTGTGCTTTCAGCCCACAACTCAGCCTTTTTGGCCTACTGTGCCACACCGAGCAGCCCGCCGGTCTGTACCGGTCCTTGGGAGGGTTCGTATCCCCCCGGGACAGTCGAGTCGTCAGACACAGATCATCAGCCTTACTTGGTCTGGTAGGGGAGTGGTTCCAACAGGCCCTCAACACTTAAAGATGGCCTCCGTTGCAGCCTGCAACTCAGAGTTCGGACCCTCTACACTGAAACTGAGCAGACCTGCCGGACAGTACCGGTCATTGGGCTAGACGAGTTGTTTAACGAGCGCTCGCCGCTCATGCCCAGGTCTCCAGATACCAGAGTAGAGATTAGTCCTACTAAGTCTCATGCAGGTTTGGCAGCAAGACCCTATCCTTCATCCACAGAGTTCTATGACCTAGGATAGAAGAGACTCAATGCAGAAAGAATAGACAGACAGACTGTACTCAGCAAGTACCAAGGGGTATGTGCACTTCCATAGGGCAAGGGGTAGGCTAAGGGCTTGGCGAGATGTTACCAACTCCAGCTTGGTCAAAGTCTTGGTCAACGCCTTGGTCAACGGCCTTGGTCAACGCCGGTCAACGCTGCTATGACCCTCGGTCAACTCCCCGGTCAGCTATGGCGGCCGACACTTCTTCCTCGCCAATCCCCTTCTTCTTCCTTACCTCCCTCGCC